GGGGTCATTTTTTTCACACTTATGGTATGCGCGCTGGGGCTAACAAAAAACAAGTGTATTAGGGGGGGCCAAGAATTTTTCATACGAAATCGTCAAGAAGACTAAATTTGTAGCGGGGGTAGGTAGCGCTACAAAAAAGACAGATTGAAGATTGAGAATCATTAAAGCCGCTTAAACAAACCTCATTGTATCTTAAGTTCAGTCCAGAAACGTTATTCATCAAACATTCTTGTCTGCTCGTAGTCAAAGACTCATCTGCATAAGAAATTGACACTGAAATTACCTCAACATCTTTGTAACGCGTTGTATCAAATGGTGGTTTGCATTTGTTTTTATGACCCGCAAAATCGCACTGCCAACTTGTTGAATTTCTTGAATTGAATGTGAATATTGCATTGGGACGCTGAATCTAGGCCACTTTGCCACATCACACGGCATTAACTGCATTAGCGTCATTAAGCTCAACTGCCCGAAAATGGACTCCAATGTGCTCCGCGCGCAGTGGACCTCCGGTGGTTTCACGGTACTTGAATCGGTACAGATTTAGATCCCGGGTTTGTACTTACTTACCTCATGAATAATTGATAGTAAATCCAGAATGGTAAAAGCCTTATCTAATTTGATCTTTAAAATATTAWCTAATTGGTCAGGTTTACTGAAGTGGCCCCGGGATGTTTTACTAATTTCACATTATAAACAAGTTGTAAGAATAACTTACCAATATACTGTGACAAGAATCTTGAGCCAATAACTTGTGTTTCATTACTATCTGGTAACCTCCACTTTTACAGTAGAAAAGCACAATTATGACAAGACCATCAACGATGCTACATCAATTTTTCTTTTTGATTTAAGTAGTAACAACGTTTTCTATAATAAAGCGGATCATTTTGTGATACATACCGCTACTTGCAGATGGTCATATGGGTATTTTTTCTTCTGGTAAACTTCGAAAAAGTACGCTTTACCTTCAATAAGGCTGAAAGGCAAATCAAACGTTTTTGTAGCCTTTATCCTTGTATTCTACTACTAGGGCTCCTAGAAAAGATGAAGGCAATGGCAATAAAGAAAGAGGGAGACTGGAGTCGATCGTTCCCAGAAGTACTTCTGTCGTTCCCAGTCTCCTCAGCCATCAACCCAGGAACGCCAAAGGAACCCAAATAGTAGGCTARAGGAATTACTTATTGAGGTCTGAGGACTGTTGTTGCTCTTGGTGGTACTTTTGTTTATGTTCTTCTTGACTATTTTTGTAAAAACATGCAAAAAGCCGCCAAACATAAACCCTAAGTGGTCACTACAGCGATATCAAATTGACGGCCGCCATGTTGTGCGTGATTCTTACCTTATATTCTCCGACTGCTGTGATGATAGCTGTGAATAATTACCTTGATTAGATCTTGCTCCTTGTGCATTAGATGCCTTGAAAATGATAGAACATATACACTGAATTCTATTTTTCCCAGAAAGTGTTAGAGTTCAAACAATATATATACTCATGAAATCGATATATTATACCAGTGCTTCTATAGTCTGATCAAAACTATTTAGTAGTAATTCACACTATTTCACAGATATCAGGTTTATTTTCAATAACAACCTCAGGTATAGCCAATCAGTGTGGGTAGTTTAATGTTATATTGGTGTGTGACTTTTGTAGCCAATCAGTGTGCGTGATATATTGATACATGAATTTCTCGACCAATCAGAGTACGTGTTATATTTGGTACACATACCTCTCCTAAGTATGCTATCATCTTTGTATTGATTGGATCATCGTCTGAACTGAGCCAAAGATCTGATGAGTCCTCTGAACTGATGAAAAATTGATACAAACCTWCAAGAAAACGAAGATTTATACACGTGATAAATTAGCTGTCCTATTAAGATCGAGGTCGGCGTGCATGAAAACTGCGAACGACAAACGTGAAAACTGATCAATTCTTTTTATCCTTACCTGTTTTAGGTGGATGGATATAACCAAACATTCTTTTCCCACYGAACTGTTTGAAATGGGTTCTTTGTACTTTTAATTCGCTCAAAGTCGTTCGTGTCTTAAAGAAATAACACACACAAAAGTTTAACACAAGTGATGGGCTCAAAAGACAATCTTTTTCTGAAAAACTCTATTATTGTTGTTCTCTGATTGATGGATATCATTTAGCGAGTGATAATGCAGCTTAATGACATGTGTACTATGTGTACTATCATTACAGTATGCCAGTCGTACATTTGGTTGCCTTGGGAATGTTGGATCTCGTCGTAAGTCATCAGTAGTGAAACCACACCAGCCATACCATATATGGAGATTAACAGTTCCATCTAAGCTCTGAAAGAAAATCGGTCAGCAACAATACATTGAACAACTTCCTCTTTGGTTATATCATTTATCAAGCTGCGTTATCAGATATCACATGTTTTTCGATTCCTAGATATAGATACATTTTCTTTTTTCCCTTGTCCAAATTCTTTTTCATTCAATTGCAATGATCTCGTTCTCATTCTCTCATCCTATTGCTTCGAACGGATAAGGGCCTGGTAACGACGTTGTTTTCATTCCGTAATGATTCTGAGATAATAAAAGTTAACGTATATATAAATCATGTAAAATTGTATTTTAGCAAACAATCCATGATTGCCTTCTAACGCAGCGGCCATCTTGAGTTCGTGGCTGGTCAGCCTCGACATGGATGCAAAAGTGGCCGCGCCTCGTGACAAAAGTAAAACCTTATTAGATACCTTATTTCCCCGTCTACTGCTAATTCCACATCGACGAGCGTTTATCGCAGGTGTTACGGTAACGACTTCAGCAATGATTTCACCTGTAAAATTTGCAGTGACGTCTGTAGGGACGTCAGCAGGGACATCAGGTGAAACATCATTAGGAGTGCTTTTTGAAGTGAAGTTATTAGTTATACTGGTACTAGTAACGCCAGCTTTTTCCCCATCAATACCTTTAGCCTGGACGTCCACAATTACGACAGTATTGACATCAACGCCTGTTGAAACGTTAGAAGTAACGCCGTCATTAGCGTTAATGAGTTACAGTAACGTCTAAAATAGCTTTCCCATGCAGTGGCTTTTTGTATTGACATTTTATCTGCGAGTTTAGCGTCAACGTGACAGCAGGGTAGTACATGGTAGTAAGCGAGGTGTTTGAGATCAGGAATTAAAATTAATATGGAACCCATGGACTCATTTTCATTGTTTAGCTGGGATGTTTTTTTTTATAATTTGAATTGGGATCGATACCTAGCAGCCTGAAGTCTATATACCACGTTACTATCCTATCGGGAAAATCTCAAGCCAGCGAAGAAGCTTTGTTGTGTCAAAGTGTTAATTGTTAATCTTTTTGTTTCTGAATATTTTTTGTCCATTATTTACTATGTTAAAATACTAACTACTATTGAAGTTCATAAAGTACACATTAAACAGACACACACACACACACACACACACACAAATGAATAAAAAAAATTATCTTCGTATGATATTGAGCCAACGATATTGAGTCCAAACGAGTATGTTCAAGAGAAAATGAGAATGTATACATAAAAACCGTTTTAGACTTGTAGTCTTAGTAGACTGGCTTGAAGAGATTAGCACCTCATAGTAACATGTATAGTAACGTGGCTGCACTAAGACCCTGTAGCAACACATGGTGCTTTCCACTTAAACACAAGTGGTCGGCCAGGCCGTTAGATAATGTCTTTTTTCGATATTATTCTGTAATTTTCTTCTGCTAAAGGATATGAGGGAATTTATAAATTGATTCTTCTGCATGATTAATGATGATTAAAAATGATTCTGGCCAGTCACTTCGGATCAATGGAAATCGTTCAAAATTACAGGCCGGTCTGGGTTACGGTTTAAACAATCTACACTACATGTAGTGAGCAACATATTATTGCTTCCTAGTTTTTGCCTCTTTGGGGTTTCCATCTATATTCTGCTTTAGCCCGCTTTAGTCAATCTTCGCATTAGAAAATTAATATAAAGTTTCTCCCATATATGAAAGAACCTTTTTAATGTTTGTTTGAAACAGGAAAAGAATATTTAAATGCAGTGCTCACATTTTAGATTTACATTGGTCTGGTTTCAAAAAATTCCTGGGAGGATATTGATGGTTGCTATAGGTCGATATAGGTTTTATGCCCCAAGACAGAGAGTAAATGTTARTTCCCTTGAGCAGGGCTGAAGCCCTAATTATTACACTATCACTGGTAAAAAATAGCGCTTTAAAGGTTGTAAATTTGCTGTAAATATGATGTAAGTGTCCAAATTGATGTAAATGATTTACATCAAATTTACAGAATTTTGGACGCTTAAATCGTCATATTTACATCAAATGTACAACCTTTAAATTAAGCGCGCGATTTTTTCCAGTGTATGGGACACCTATTCCTTACCTTTCAAACATTCGAAGGGATCAGCACATTTCATTTTTGACCAAATGACGCTTTGATGCATCATGATTATGGCTTGTAAAATGACGAAGAGAAGAGAGATGCAAGCAATCCATGATAACCGRCAACTAACAGGAATACGACTTTTATGGTTGAGATTTAAAATCTTCATGAGTGTTTATTTAGCAGTATATGCCCTAGTAGGCCGTGAATGAAAATTGAAGTTTGAAAACACACAGTATGATACACTTAGTTAATAATGGATTGGTCGATGGTGTGAATATTAATCACGTAAATAATCAAAGTTCACTTATTAACCACCCACCATCCCCTACCCTCATGATCTATTTCTTTAATTCATGAGCTGAAACAGTTTTCTCCAATGTGGCGGCAAAACCATTACTCATAGAAACGTCGTTATGGAATCGCGAGTTGACTWGAAAGCATCTTTACAATATTTATTTTAAAAACCCACTTTAACACTTACAAGAACCTGATTTAAATAAATAATTCTTAGGTATCCGTTAGATCAAAACAAAGTTCTTGAAGTTGTACTCTCTGGACAGTTGTAAATACAGTCAAACATATTACATATCACGACATAGAGAAATAGAAATGAACACAACATCAAAATCATTTACAAATGTCAAATGAAAATGTTTTTAAGTTTTC